CTTCAACACAAACCAGTCTGGGATCCTATGATTCTATGAAATATTAAAGGGTATGAGGTGTCTGGTATTACACACACTGGACACTGCTGTATGTTGCCCAGTGAAGGCTCCACCTCACCGTGGCAAGCTGCAATACTGTGCAATACTAACTACCACCTTTGCTCTGCAGTTATAAAGGTCACTTTAGGTTCAGGTGTCTGACAAGGAGCAGTGTGTTACCTTGTGATTGCCCTCCTGTAGCCAACACACACTCCTGTGGGGATAGCAGAGGACTGTTGGTTTGTGAAGCAAGCTGTGCTGAAATAGCCTCTTCAGAAGAAAGCACACAGAGAGATCAGTGGCAAGCCTGAAGTTCCAAAGGTGAAGCACATACAGGCTAATTATTTGCTAGTGCTGGTTTTACTCAGGCCAGGATATTTTTCTGGGAAAAATCCTCATCAGGCAGCATTAGGGAATAGGGAGTCCAGGGAGGGTTCATAGCACTCAAAGGAGTAAGGAAATTATGCACTAAGTTGTCTCCCAGGCTTCTGCACAGGTTTTTGATCATTCTTGCTGGTATGAACTGGGACGAAAGGTAGAAGTGCAGTAACAGCTGAGGCACAGTGCGTGCCTGCTTTCTGGAACTCCTGCTGCATGTTAAGATGAGCACATACAGGAGCTCAAAGAGGAGTCTTAGAGGAGCTGCAGTGATTGACTTTAATTTGCTATTTAAGGAAATGTGGAAGTCGAGGGAGTCGCAAATGACAGGAGCAGTGCTCTGTTACCACGGTGCTGCAAGGATGTACGGGTGGCTTGTTGCGGGTGATACCCTTTCGTGGTCTTAGTCCCGTCCCTGCTCTGTTGTTTCCAGGTCTCCCGAGGGATCACCCGGAGAGTTACCACTCCTTCACGTGGAATAACTTCTTCAAGCACATCGACGTCTCGGCAGAGAACGTTCACATTTTGGATGGAAACGCCGCGGACCTGCAGGCGGAGTGTGACGCCTTCGAGGAGGAAATCAAAGCAGCCGGAGGAGTCGAACTCTTTGTGGGAGGTGAGACCCAAAGGACTGGAGGAGGCGCTGCCTCTCCTGCACCAGCCGCCCCGTGCTGGCAGGATTGTTCATGAGCAGGGCATTTGCAGTGGAAGCCACCCCGTGCTCACTGCCCTGGGCACTGGTGTGTGCTGGCAGCTTTGCCTCCCCCACTTTAACTGTTTCAATCCAGTGAGTGAATTGTTAAGGAAACAATCAGCAGGAGAAAGAGGCAGGGCTGGAATTGCACCAAATACAGTGGCCGGTGCTAACAGGACACTGCCAGGAGGAGTCAGAGTCCTCTGAGCACAGAGGAGCTCAAGGCAAGCTTTTCCCATCAGTTTGCCTGAAGGTTCTGCCATCTGCTCTGCTCTGTTGCTGTCCCGTTAGGGAAGAATCTCTGTTAGCTTCAGAGGGGACTTTTGCTGTCATTCCTACCAGAAGCAAATTTGAGCTTGAGTGGAACACGGCAAGTGTTTTTCTCAGATGGGTATCTACTTCTGGAAGCACCGAGTGTCCTTCTAAGAGGAGTGCTGTTGTCTCTGCTCCCCACAAACACCGCTGCAGCCACTGACCTTCTCAAACTGTCTCTGTCACAGGTATTGGCCCCGATGGCCACATTGCCTTCAACGAGCCTGGGTCAAATTTGGTATCCAGGACACGAGTGAAGACCTTGGCTATGGACACGATACTGGCCAATGCCAGGTTCTTTGATGGTGACCTCTCCAAAGTCCCCACAATGGCTCTGACGGTCGGAGTAGGCACGGTCATGGATGCCAGAGAGGTTAGGAGGAAAGCAGTGACTCGGTACAGTAGCTCCTGAGCAGGGCTTCCTGGAGCAGCTGAAGATGATCCGGTTTTGGTGCCACAATGCACCCTGCTGGTGTAGGCCAGCTTGTGCCTTTCCTGCTGCAGACAGCTGAATACCTGATCCCGTTCTCTCACGTCCTAGGGAAAGGCTCTTGCTCCATCTTCCTTTTTTGCTCTCCTCACAGTCAGGTTTGTGTAACCCTGCAGTGCAGTTGTTATCCACAGGGAGCCAGAAAGGTCTGGGAGGATGTCTTTGGTTAAGTATCTCACCTAGGGAAGTAACTGCAAGAATCACAGGTTGACTTGATGTTCCTCCAGCAGATCATGAAAACTGGGACAGCTTTTAATGGAGCCTGTACCTCGGCTTCCTTGGCAAATAACTTGGAGCCAGAACTGTGATTCAGTGAGTGCCTCTGTGCAGGATGGTGGAGCTCTCCCCATTCGGGACCAGGGCAGCTCTCTGTTCAGCGGGGGGGGGTGTGCTCTGAACACATCTTCCAGACCCTAACTGCCATCTTCTGTGTCTTGGGGTCCAGGTGATGATTCTTATCACAGGAGCCCACAAAGCCTTTGCTTTGTACAAAGCCGTCGAGGAAGGTGTCAACCACATGTGGACAGTATCTGCCTTCCAGCAGCACCCCAACACCGTGTTTGTGCATGATGAGGATGCCACGCTGGAACTTGTGAAGTACTTCAAAGGTGAGTGTTTGAGCAGGCCAAGCAGGCGTTGTATTTAGTTTTTGAGAGGCACAAGCCATGCTTTGCATTAGATATTTCCTATACTCGACTCCCAAAGGAGTGCTGGAACTCCTGAACTGGAACAGCTGAAGTGTGCAGCAGTGACAGAAGTGCAAAGGTAGATGCTCAACTGCATGGGTATGGGAGCAAAGGAACAGGGACTCTAGGCGTGTAATGTCATTAGCATCCAGTGAAAGAGAATGTTGCTTTATTTTGTCTACTTAAGTCATCTTTTTACTTCGTCCATCAGGTTTAATGCTGGTTCACAACAAGCTTGTGGAACCCTTATACAGCATGAAGGAGATGGGAGCAGAAAGAAGCCACTCCAAGAAGCCAAACAGCGATGAAAGTGGCTGTTCGGAGCAGGGCTGAACCAGCTTTCCTGCTGCAAACCAGCTGTGAAAGAAGAGAATTGCTGCAGAAACTCCTGGTTGTTCCTCAGTTAGCAAAGTGATGATGTGCTGCTGCTCTCCAATAAAAACAGGCCCAACACCTGCCTGGACTAACCCAGTGTGGATGGTGCCCGTGCACTGCGTTCCACACGCTTCTGCCACTGCCTTGTTCTCTGAAGGTAAAGCCAGGGCAGAGTGAGCTGTTTCCCTCCTGCAGCAGCTGCACTCGTGTGGACTGGAGGCTGCAGAACTTAAATATGGAGAGACATTAAAGTTGCAGAAGCCAAACAGGTCACTGCTTTGGGAGGTGTTCCTTGCAATTGGTACCTTGTGTGTCATTCCCTCCACAAATCACCCCGAGATGTTCAGACTGGAGTAAGGAAGAAAGGTGGCCATGAGGACAGCCAAGCAGTGGGGCAGGTCCCCAGAGGGGCTGTGCAGTCTCTGTCCTCAAGAGCATTTCAAGACCTGACTGGGTAAAGGCTTGGCTGAACCCTGCTTTGAGCAACATGTTGAAGTAGTGAGTTCTCTCTCTGCCTCTTCCTGTGGTGCCAGATAAGCCTCAAAGGAAGCACTGTTCCCTCTGGAATTACAGGTGGACAACAGCGTGTACTGACAAGACCCCACCACTTCTGAACCTTGATTCCCAGGTTTCCTGTCAGACGTTACCATGGGAGGGGTGAGACAAAGAGGGCAGCATTTCTTCTCTCCTTGCAGAAGTGCTGGAAGCTGTTGCTCTGCGATGTAACTTTCTACACTAAATGTCTTAATTTTTCTAAACACTCACGTTTGTACCTGGGGCTGGGTCACACTGTGCTCGTGAAACACGGAACAGCTCAGTACCTAACACTAGAACCACAGTACCTAGAACCAAAGCTGTACTGAAAGAGCCACTGCTTCTCTCTCCTTCCAGCCCCGGGGGGCAGGTTTCCACCACACGTCTGCTGTGCTCCTGGCTCTGCCATGTAAAAATGGCTCTTCGGCCTTTAGAGAAGGAGGAGGAGGTCACAGCGCTCTGCCCAGTACCACAGTATCTGCAGATAATCTAATGCTCCTTCTGTGCACACACAAACGGGGGTGAGGTTTACAAGAGGGGAGAAGAAACAAGGAGGAAATGGCACCAAGTGCCCGAGCTGCCTGCCTTGCTGTGTCTGTGAAGGCAGGCGTGGGGTTTGCTGTCCTACCTTTGCCACACTGGTTGTCCTGTGGGTGCAGTCCCCGGCTTCTCCTGTCCTCAGAGGGTCTGTCCTCGAGTCCCGGTGACCACGTCACCCCTCTTGCCCTCTGCACAGTTTGTGAAAGCAGAGGTAGGTCACTGCAGCACCTCCACATGCTCCCATAGCACTTGTGCTGTGGTGGCTCTGGGGGACATCCCCAGCTGCAGCTTCCCATCCCAACATAGCCTCCAGCGTTCCAGCCCTGCCCTCAGCCCTCCTCTGCCTGGCAGAAGGGACCTGCCCGGCCTCGTGTAGGTTTGAGAGCTCCAGCACCATGTCCTCCACCCAGGCAGGAGGACGGGGTTTAAACACGTGCCTCTCCTTGTCACAAAACATTCCCATCCGGAAGCAGGCAGCTTCTGGAGTGGAAGCTACAGTGGGGCCTGCAGCCCAGAGCTGGCCTCGCCCTCTGCAGCGATCCCAGTGTAGCAGCGTGGCAGCCATCGGGTATCAGGGGTGGGGATCCAGGGGTGGGGATCTCTGAGGGAAAACGGGGGCTCTTTGGGTGCGGGGGCACTGCGTGAGCCCAGCCAAACCTCCCGCAGCAGAGCACACCCCGTGCAGCTCCCACCAGAGCCCTGCACCAGCCCCAGTCTGCTCCGTGTCACTCTGCAGGCGAGAGACCCGGTCCCGTGGCTCGCAGGAGCCAGCAGCCATCACCAGCCAGACACACACCTGCGCTGCCACAGACACCCCATAACGAAGACAAACAGGGAGACAACTGTGTTTGCTGTCTTAAAGTGAATTTAGTGCAGGTGAAAGGTGCAGGAAATACAATTTAAACCATACACAACGTGCACTTT